AAGACAATATTATATAGAGTTTTTCTAGGAAATTGAGCTATTGAGTACAAAAAATACATGGACCACACAAGATGAATATATTAAAATGTTTAAATACATTAAGAATGGACAATCAAAACCAAGTAGAGATATTGATTTAGTCAATTTGTTTGTCATCTGGCACTTCTTGAAGCTCGGTAAAAAAAAAAGTATTTAAGTAAAACTATCATTTGTATAAACTAAGAAAATTGCTCTCAAAGTACTCAATAGTCTCGCAAACAACTAGAGTTTAGACAATTTTAAGACATTTGAAATGAACAAAAAAAAATGGAAAAAAAGTTTATTATAATTAAGTTTTGAACGGCGTACAAAAAATTGCAAGGCACTCGTCAGATTAATCGCCGATATTAGAATTACGTAAAAAGATTTTGAATTGACACTTGCTACATTAAAGTTAAAGAAACGTAAAAGGAATTTCTTCCCATAAAAATAGCCTGCAGCGCATTTATTGTTAAAAAATGTAAAATGTAGCTCTGTATAGTGTAAAGTGTATCATGGCGGAACAAATGACAATAAAATAAAAATAAATAAAATATTTGAAACTAAAACTTCGTCAATTTACTAATTTAGATATACTGTTTCTTATGGCGAGAACAGGTTTTTTTTTTAAAACATGGACCGTTTAAGGCCCTGATTACATGAGATAGCTTATTATGTGTTAGGGCAACTCCTTTGTTTTCTCTTCCCTGGAGGATTGAAAACAAGAGTTTGGCTCCACGCCTAGGGCCACCCTATCTCATGTAAACAGGGCCTCAGTTGCTCATTCCCAGTCTTCTGCTCGTTTTTCGTATGGCCAATGTGTATTTTGGATTTTAGCATTATTTTTATACCTTTTATTTCTCAAGGGCAGCTGTAAATGTTTGGTAGGGTAGGGTATAAATGCTCCTTTGCAGGATCAATCACGGTAGCCTGTGTGCCCGACCTTTCGAGTTACTATAGTTCCCAAATTTCCTCGAGGCGGCTAGGAACGTCAGGCTGCGCAGTCTAGACATTCAATTAAACCAAAAAAGTTTGATCACCAGAAAAAATACCTCCCGAACACTGACAACACTAGAATGGAACTCTTTAGACACTTAGCAACTTTACTTTGCTATGAGAAAGATGGGCTTCAACACTTTGTTGCACGTGTTTCATGTTTGTACAATATATAATATCATCAATAGAGATACTCAATGCTTTTTAACAAACTAATTCTTATGTTAATGTGCCATCCATGATCAGAATGGCTTTTCACAAGCGTCGCTTGTTCAAACAGTCAATCATCTTCTTGTTGGCACATGAATAACTAGGGCTTATATTAATGAAAACAAAATGAGGCTTGCAGTTGAAACTGTCAACTTTTTCGAAATTTACTATGTATATTATTAAAACATTACTAAGTTTTATTCACAATCAAACTATGTTTTGTTTCGTTTTTCCTTCTTTCTTCTTCTTTTTTTTTTAATTAGAAGAAAACATTACATAATTTTTTCTAAGAAATTGCACTATTGAATAAATAAATACGATAGACCACACAAGATGATTATTCAATTCATTTAGAATGGACTATCAAAATGATCATGTCAATTGTTTTGTCATCTGGCACTGCACGCACGATTTGAAGCTCGGAAAAAATATCTATATGATAACTCTATCATTTGTACAAAGAAAATTGCTTTCAGAGTTGTCAATAATTCCGCAAAAAGCTAGAATTTAGACATTATTTTAGGATATTATAAATCAACAACAAAARGCATGTTTAYTRCAATTWAGTTTCGTTCTAAGTACAGAAATYGCACGCAACTCTTCAGRTGAACAGCTTTTAAGCTGTTAMAAATWTGTGTAKAACGGTTTCTAATTGACAATTGATTTATTACAAGAATCGCGTGAAACTGATGTTATTTAAAGTAACGTAAAAATAGGGTGCAGTGGTTTGAAGATGGGTTGTATGTATGTTGGTATGCTATAACTATTCAAGTTTTCCTTGGTTGAAGTCATTCAAACTATCCTTTCTTTTTTTAGACTATAATATTGTGGAACTCACTTTGGTCCAATAAACTGTTCAATGTGCGAACGTCAGATTAAAAACAAGTAGAAGGACTGTATTASTTACCACATCGTAAGCGTCTCGAGTAATTCGTACTAGAAAAGACTAAGTGACTCAAGAGGAAGTAAAAATAATAGGACTTGATCATTTTCCAAACTAAACGGTTARAGATGGCGTTACACAAACTCTGATTTTGAAATAAAAAATAATAAAAAAAACTACACGCACAGCAGACTATACCTCGAGCCAGCGGCCATAGACCTGGTCACGAATAATTAGGCCGGCAGAATAAGCGATTTAGTTTTAATCATGGACTGTTTTAGGTGCTCATTCCCAGTCTTCTGCCCGTTTTTCGTATGTTTAATTGACATTATAGCTTTTAGCAATCTTTTTATATCTTATATTTTCTCAAGAGCACTGTATGGTAATGATTGGCAGTGTAATGCATGCCCMTTTGTAGGATCAATTAGGGTATATTATAGTCCGTGTTCAATAGCCTTTGCGGCCAACCTTTTGGGTTACTAGTCCCCAAACTCTCTCGAGGCGGCTAAGAAGGTTAGGCCACGCAGTCTAGACATTCAATAGACCTCTGCAGCTTTTACGTCATGTACCGTATATGCAATGCATTGTAGGATATGTTTGGGACAGAACATGGCGGATTTCTTTTGCTTTCTCTTGAAATTGATCCCACAATGCATTGAAAATTAAGTAGTGACGTAAAAGGTTCAGAGGTCTATTAAACCAACAAAGTTTGAACCACAGACTATACCCTCCCAAACACTGACAACACTATACTAGAACTCTTTAGACACTTACCAACTTTGTCGCATTCATCATCACTACTACCATCTTCAAGAGCATCTTCATCATTCACAGATGCAATCTTGGCATTCTTCCGTGGGGATGGTACTCGTTGTGGTGATTTTTTGGTTTTTGACGTAGTTAAACGTCCTAATAATGGAAGAAAAAATTATCGCAAAAAAAGAACAGAACGTCGTATTCGTTTCATTGCTAAAAAAAGAAGTGATGATGATGACAATCATCGAACGTCAACGTGAAATGGTGAACAAAATTTAACATCAAGCAACGATATTAAATGCGATTAAATAATACAACACCAAACTTAATTTCATGGATCCATGCTATAAATTAGCAGCAGATGGCCCGCCATTCGACTTGGATTGAATACGCATCAAATATGAAATAAGCTACAATATYAATATTGGACAAAAATACTTGAGATTTTTTTTCGCTTGCGCGCAGAAAACACGTTATCTAGTGTATTTAATGAAAAAAATTACCTGAATTTCAAAAATCATCCTTCGCCGAATCAATGTTGCAGCAACGGGTTAAGGCAATGTATTTTGGATTTTTTTTTTTGCACTTTCATGTTCTAGATTTCAAACATTATATCTGCCCCATACAAGGAGTAGTCAATCAAACTATTGCAAGTTCATATTCTCCTGCGATTTTTTTTTTCAGCAAAGCCTGGAGAATTTGTGACATATAATAAGCAAGCACTCGTTCTGAAATTCGCCGAAAAAATATAATCTATAGAAACACATCAACATTAATAAACGAATTTCAACCCATCTTCCATATGTTTACCAAGGTCAAAGCTTCTAAGAAAAATATCCCTATATTAATTACACACCTCTGACTTTTGTTTAAACTCCAAAAAAATAAATATGACAGACTTTTCTTGACCTAAGCATAAACTTGTTTCATAGGAAGTAAAAATTAAAAGTGACTTTTAAATATTTTCATAGTAGAAAAGGCACACCTACTTAGGAGGACCATCTTAGCAGGATATGAAAAAATGCGGAACAACAACTACTCCCATCAAGCTTCGTTGCACAAAATCACGTTGCAGATTTCCTATTCTACATTGAAAACAGAGTCGCTGTGTTGAATATTTGAGTATAGACCCCTTGCAGTTCATGGGAATGCAGCTCCAACTGGAGGACAAAACAATAGATTCTAGTTCCCAAGAGAATAAAAATCTTTTGTTTTGTCCTCCATGTGAAGCTGTTTTGACGTCACATGCAAGGGGTCTATATCTGGGATCGAATAGCGTCCAATTTTCCTATGGTACCTAGTTGGGGACCCGCACTTTAATGAAAAATCCAATCATTTTTTTTCCGTCTCCTTGGTGAATTCCACCATATTGCACTCGGTTATTCCACTTCGTTTTCACAGCTTTGTGAAAATCATTCTTAGTTAATATCCAACGGCTGCTTGTGTTGGGAGTTTTGCTACCTGTATAGAATACTCAAATACTATCGTAACAAATTACAACAAGCATCTGCTACAAATGTAACTATTAGGCTCCCTGCTGCTTGCAATATAATTATTGTCGAGTAAACTAACGTACAAAGGTAAATACATCCAAATAGCCATCCAATCCAATAATATACTTGTGTACTGGTTTTGAACAATTAATTTAGATCACATTTCATAAACAAAGAAACTACAGAAACCGAACGTAAACCTACACGCTCAAAAATACACCAAATGCGAGCGCGATATATCCGATATTAGTTTTTCTATTCGATGTTACACACATTCTTTTTCTTTTTTTTTCTTTTGATGACCCATTGTGAGATTTAATAAAGTTTACTATTGTCATTATCTGTGAGCAGGTGAAAAATAATGTTATCGTTGTTCTCTTTATGTTACCATCGAATACTCTGTACAACATTGTGATATTTCTTCCCTTTTCTCACTAGTGAGATATCAATGGAACACTCGAAGATAAAATCCGTATCGAGGATTGTTGTTTTATTTTTATTTTTTATTTTGTTTCTTTCTTTTCTCTTTTTTTCCAAAAAAAATGACGCCTTACCTCCCTCATTCTATTTTGCACCCATTTAAAATAAACGTAAATGTTTTGTCCAGAAATATCATTGAAATGGGACAGACACCTTTTGAACATTTTACAACCGTTCAATGAACAAATTTTCACTTCTATATACTACACCTCTACTTACAGCCTTTCACGGCTTTTTAACTCGAAGATTGCGTTAGCAATCGAAGAGTTATTGTGGGGGAACGATCTGTCACTCACTAAGTCACTCACTCACTCACTTTCGCAAGGCGCCTGATTGTCTGGACATTGTTGACAAGTTTTGTTGTGATTTTGACGATATTCAGAACACTATATCTCTGCAACAACAAAAAGCCCCAAGAAGATGTTAACATCAGGTTTTAGAGCATCATTTCCAGTATAAGTTCTCCAAGTTTGAAGCAAATTGGATTTTTACCGAGTAGCGAAATTATTTTTTTTAAATGAGTAGTAAATTAGTAATTTTTCGGCTCTCAAAAATAGGTGGTGTTTACTGGCCTGGTGTGAATTTAAATAATAACTTAAAGGATTAAAATTGTCACCAAATTAATCAGAAACATCTTGTCAACGCATTTGTAAACTCGAAACTAGCATTTCTTGCGATGCGAATTGTTGAGAGCGAATTTTACTGAAGGCTGTATCATGTATTTCGTTTGGCTAATTTCACAAATCTCGGGTCCGCTCCATGCACGTTTTGATAATTTTTCGGCGTTTAAAATAATATTTCAGGAAACAAACTCCACCACGTTTCTAAGTACATATTAGAGTATCAATGGACAAAATATCAAGGATTTCGGTTTTTCATCATGTGCCGCTGATAGTTGATTTCGCTCGGTATTAGTGGACATTCCCTTAACTAGGGTGAGCTGTGTCGGTGTTTCTAAAGAAACAGTTGCGCAAAAAGATAAATTTAACAAAAGTAGTTAAAACACAACTTACTGACGATTCAAAGGATTAACGAAAATAAAACGAAAGATAACCCGAATAATCTCATTTTGATTGATATTCAATCGAAAATGGATGGACAAGATGAAATCAAACGCTATATTTCGATTTAATAAAATCCTCATCAGGCGAAAACTGAATTATATAGAGAGAGTTCCCTCGAGGCACGTAGGCCATTGTTTAGAGATGGATATAGAAAGCTTCTTTATAAAGGCGTCAGTAAGTTCTTTCACCTACTATTTTACGGTGTTAAATTTATCTTTTTACACAACTATTCAATCCAATAATATATTTGTACACTGGTTTTAAACAATTAATTCAGACTCACATTTCATAAATTTATATTTGTATACAAACATATTAGATAAGTAGAATGAAGCAAAAACACCAACTTGAAAATTAAATGTCTGTTTTACTAAGACGTTTCGGCACTTGGATGTTCTTCAACAAACTGAGTGTTTTGCACGCGCCACTCTATAAATACTAACAGCTACTACTACTAGGCAACCAACAACCACCACAACAAAGAAACTAGGAAAACCTAAAAAATGCAAATCCCTAATTCTATTTTGCACCCATTTAAAATCAACACGATAATGAAACGTCAAAGTGTATCTGAAGTAAGCATTAGCGAAGAACTACTGAAGAGAGAAATGAGGAATGCCTTAAAATAGACATCTTTATTGAATATTTTCAATGTACAAATTACTTTTAACTTCTATATACCGCACATAGATACACTGGTGTCGGTCAGTCGTAAAATAAGAATTAGTCAAAACAACAATAGAGACATTACTCCTGACGTCTATTTGTCTACTAAACCTCTACTTATGTACTTTCACTTTCATGCGTTTTTTTCCTTTTTGTACAATGTTTACACTCTTGTAAAATCATAAATTTCGCACTTTGTATGTACATTGGAGTAGAACTAGCAATATATAAATACAATATTTATACGATATGTATTTGAATTCCTTAATTTTGAAACTTAAATGTAAACTAAAGATTGCAATTGCTAATGTTAGTTGCATTGCTGTTATCATTATTGTTGTTGTTCCTGATTTTTCGAAAAGACCGCAACAATTGAAGAGCAGCATTTCGCATGTCTTGTATTCTCCAGAAATATATGATTGGATTGATACTGCTGTTCATATAAAGAAGGGTTTGAAACAAGAACATTGCGATCTTAAGCTTCAAGTTTAATTTAGGCATAAACGTTATGATAATCCAGCGAGAAATCTCAGGGAAGTAGCAAAGGGAAAATGTTCCAACAACATAATACATAATATTCACAGATCTCTTAATGTTCCTTGCTGCACCAGGCGCTGCGTTCATTGCCTGCTGTTGAGCGTGAATTTGCGCTGCATGTTGACGGATAACGCAAGATATTTTTAGCATCAGAGCAATGTTAATTAACAAGAATGAAAGAAATAAAAAATTGCTTATAGGCAAAATTATCATTAAAGCAAAATGCATTCTTTTTAAAAGGAAAAGTACCAGGCATGCCCCAAAGAACACACTGAATGTCCAAATCGTTATTACCACCATTGATATTCGCTTCTTTGTAACAAGTTCTTGGTATCTTAGATGTAAGTGAACAGCAAGGAATCGGTCGGCAGTAATGGCAGTTGTTGTCAAAACTGATACCCAAGTTAATATCACAGGACAAAAACCTAATATGATCAAAGCAGTACTCGATAAAATTAGTAGATTGTCAGTAATATTTGCATAAATGTCAATACAGAACTTAGGCTGCACCAAAGCACCAACACCAAAGTCAGTGATAGCGAGACTAAGAATGAGAATGTTCGAAGTTGTTCGTAAAGATGGCGTCTTGATAAAAGTTATAATGACCAAGAGGTTCAAAACAGTCGCCAAGAGACCACTGAAAGCATTGATGACGATCATCGACACGAAGAAGTGAACATCGACTGTTTCTGGTGGGTGACCTGCCGTGGAGTTGTCCATTTTTGTATATTAAACTCTTGACTTTAGCTTTCCTCAGATAATTACAAGTTCTTTATGCCAACTTTGCGGTAGTTGAATTTTCTACCGTTCTTAACTAGGAGTCGCTAACAAGCTCTCTTCTCTTGCTAACTCAGTTCAAGACGACTTTAAAGAAACAGACTTGCAATGTATAGAAAAAGGGCCGTGATTTTCTCACTAAGGTATACTTGAAGTGCTGTAAACAAAGTCTTATCTGTACATAACAGATTTAAACTGATGCGACAGTACTCCAAGTAGCCAAGCTTGCAACAATTGGTCACTTCAAATGTGAAATCGTTTTGCTATAACTCTGGTTGAA